CTCAGAACACCTGTCATTGGAGTCAATCTGTCATTTTTGTAAGAGACAAATTAACAGAATTACTGAAAACTGATTTAAATCAGGTGTTGTTTTAGTCATAGAACATCTATATAACAGCTATTGGAACAAAACCAAAAATACAGATTGTAGAAAGAATATGCGTGACAAACATTCTTGTTGTTACACTGTTAGTTTTGACGTACCTTACATAAACCATTATCGTCAAATATCATGTTTACTGTACTCTAGCTACTTGTTTTTCAAAAGTACTTTTATCTGCATTTACCACAGACAAGCATAGACTATACAATTGTACTGGAGACGTCTGTCATGTCAGACCCTTGAGGGTTATACAAATAATGAAGGTATTGAGTAATACTTGGACAAGGATGGGAAGGCTGGAGGTCATACAAAGCTACTGTGTATCTATTCAGTGTTGTGGAGAACATTTCTGTAATACTGTATTTATCCAGCAAAAATGGGTCAACAAGCAAAATCTGAGTCAGGTGGTTCTACAAAATATGATAATGGTGGACTTATTACAGGACAATACACAGGTTTTTGTTCTACTGAACAGTAATATATATGGGTGGGCTTATTATAGGACAGTGTATAGGTTTGTCATTCTACTGAACAGTAATATATCTGGGTGGGCTTATTATAGGACAATGTCTTGGCTTGTCATTCTACTGAAGAGTAATATATTAGGTGGGCTTATTACAGGACAATACATAGATTTGTAATTCTACTGAACAGTAATATATATGGGTGGGCTTATTACAGGACAATGTATAGGTTTGTAATTGTAATGAACAGATACATATGTGTTTCAGCATGACCACAACACCTTTTGTTTTATCATCACTACAACATCTTTGGTTTCAGCATCACCTTAACACCTTTGGTTTCAGCATCACCACAACACCTTTGGTTTCAGCATCTCCTTAACACCTTTGGTTTCAGCATCACCACAACACCTTTGGTTTCAGCATCATCACAACACCTTTGGTTTCAGCATCACCATAACACCTTTGGTTTCAGCATCACCACAACACCTTTGGTTTCAGCATCAGCACAACACTTTTGGTTTCAGCATCACCACAACACCTTTGGTTTCAGCATCACCATTTCAGCATCATCACAACACCTTTGGTTTCAGCATCACCACAACACTTTTGGTTTCAGCATCACCACAACACCTTTGGTTTCAGCATCACCACAACACCTTTGGTTTTAGCATCATCTTAACACCTTTGGTTTCAGCATCACCATAACACCTTTGGTTTCAGCATCACCACAACACCTTTCGTTTCAGCATCACCATAACACCTTTGGTTTCAGCATCACCATTTCAGCATCACCACAACACCTTTGGTTTCAGCATCTCCTTAACACCTTTGGTTTCAGCATCACCACAACACCTTTGGTTTCAGCATCATCACAACACCTTTGGTTTCAGCATCACCATAACACCTTTGGTTTCAGCATCACCATTTCAGCATCACCACAACACCTTTGGTTTCAGCATCACCACAATACTTTTGGTTTCAGCATCACCACAACACCTTTGGTTTCAGCATCATCACAACACCTTTGGTTTTAGCATCATCTTAACACCTTTGGTTTCAGCATCACCATAACACTTTTGGTTTCAGCATCACCACAACACCTTTGGTTTCAGCATCACCACAACACCTTTGGTTTCAGCATCACCATAACACTTTTGGTTTCAGCATCACCACAACACCTTTGGTTTCAGCATCACCACAACACCTTTGGTTTCAGCATCACCACAACACCTTTGGTTTCAGCATCACCACAACACTTTTGGTTTTAGCATCACCACAACACCTTTGGTTTCAGCATCACCACAACACTTTTGGTTTTAGCATCACCACAACACCTTTGGTTTTAGCATAACCACCACACCTTTGGTTTTTTAGCACAGGAATTGGACATTCTATATGTGAAATATATTACTTAAGTCCAATCTCTGTATTTTTTTAGTAGTAGTATGATATATTTTTGGGATCACAAAATGTTAAATGATATGTGCACAATAAAAAAACTAGATGAAATGATTATAATTTAATACATTTCTATAAAACAGAAATTTAACCCAAATCTGCATGATTGCAAAACAGTAAGACATTACAAATTTTGTTGTTCTTGACATTTAACCTATAAAACTGACACCTTAATCATTAATCTCCAACGACATTTGTATGATCTGATGTCTTGAAATAAAAAAGGCAAGCAATGTCCTACTATAAAATACTACAGCAGCAAAGTTAGCCATTATCCAAAAACATTAATTTATTCTTCATCATACGTAATTCTAAACACTGACAAATGACAAGCTAAAACAATCTTTATTCTGCCTGAACACTCAAAAGAGACACGATTTAATTTCACCGTTGTATAACTTAATTCATACTTTCATACAGTAAATTTAATACTTTAGTGACAATTTTACAGTTCTGTAATTTAAGGCAACAATGTTTTACTTACAAATGATAACATCATAATTACATCTAACAGCTGACAATTACAAGAGTTTTAAATTACAGCTTACAGTTAACATTAGAGTTCCACAATTTGGAGTTATTAAATATGATAGACTGTCTCTACATTTACAGTAAATTAAATCTATACTTTATGGTTAAAATGTATGAAATTGCTCTCTGATTACCCACTTTCATAAAAAGAGCACAACTGCATCAACAGAGATGCTGGGCTCTCAGATAAATTATAGAAAATCACATTAAGTTAACTTTTCATACCATTATAGTACAAAAATAGGATCTTAGATATGATAATACATGTACATGCCACTCTCGTCCTCCTTTTGTTGTGTCATAAACATAGTAACATTACCAGTTCAGGAATTTGCTACAATATCTATTTTGTGTGGGTATGAGTTTAAGTTTCAGGAAGCAATATTCACATAAATGCGTAGTATCCATTTAAAATACATGTTTGTGGCTATAATCTTTTTTTGTTTTACATCTTGATAACATTGTGAAAGTAAATATTGTGAAAACCTTTAGATTTATACCTTGTATGACATAATTACATTTTACAGCCACCTCGTTAAAAGATTAAGGGTTGTGTCCTTGCCATTGCAGTAGTAAGCTAATGGCCCCAATGGTTGACAAATAATCACCAAACTGTTAATAAAGTTTATATTTCTTAATCATTGTCTTTTTACAACACTTCCCCCATTCCCGGTCAGAACCAATATTTATGGTTGAAATCGATTGGGTAATAGGTGTTTAAATTGTTGGCAGACACAGCCACATCAACACTAGACAGATGTCTGTGTTCATGTAGTCATAGTCCCAACTGCCTTAGTCTCTGACTCATACAAGTACAGATTCACAAATGTCTAAAATCTGATGGCTACACTTAGAAGCAGTGTCTGTGTACAGCAAGTCAACGTTACCGTCTTGTTTAAATGACAAGAGACAATAAAACCATTAGGTTTAATGAACTTCATGAATTAGTGATAACTTGATAGTTTTAACTAAATTGTTTTAATTCATGATTATTTTAAGTGAAATGTTAAACTATACTGACCTAGTATTAAATATCACTAATCCAACTGATATTGTATTACTGAATCAGATTTTCAAAAAACAAGCAAAATTGTGACCCATTATATGCCTCTGAACATCATTTCCGCCTTCCTCAGAAATGACATCTCAACATCTTCACTAAATTGTCATATATGTGAAAGATAAACCCGAACAAGATAACCAACTCCATTGCTTTGTAAACCTGAACAGGTAATTTTGAGCTAACATTTTTAAACTTCATAATATTAACCATTCAACCCTCATCTCTAACACTGATATCATCAATGTGCAACATCATTACATTCAGCCTCCATTTTAACAAGTAAAGTTATTTCCCTTTATGATGCAGTCAGCCAATCACAACAATCCTTTCATATCTATTCCACACAAAGAGTATTTTGGTGGCAAATATATAAAGAAGCATTTAGGTGATTTCTGTTTTAATGAAATTTATCAATATATTCTTATTTCAAGATATGAAATAATTTCCTAATTGAGATCATATTTACATCTGCAAATATGACATAACTCATATGATATTTTGAATCATAATTTTTTTCATTGTCCCCCATTTTTTCCCTAAAATGCATTAAAACTAATTTTCACCTTTATGAAAATAATGCTACCACGTAAAAATGATCTCATACCAAAGAATTAAGTCCTAATATTCCATACCTGAAACTACCTGCACAATTTAATGTTTCCTCTACATATGTACAAGTATATTTACACTGTGTACTTACAGGCAATAGAATAACTGATGTATGTTAACGTCCTATTCAATCTCTACTTACAAACTGAATCTTATACGAGTCAGTCATACTAATGTCTGATGCAGTTTAATCAGACTTGTACAAGGTCAAAGGACTTGACATTTGGCCCTCCAAGGCTGACTTGTATAGTAACATTGACTGTAAAAAACTCTAACACATACTACATACAAGTACCACTACATTTAAAACTACATCCTGACTGAGATTCAAAATGGAGTGTAATCTCAAAATTTTGCGTTTTCACTGGTGCCACCAGCTAGTACATGTGATGGTCCCATTTAGTGACTTTTAATACAGGTTTTCTTATAAAGTGTTTACACAATCATTAAGACATGAGTAGGTAAACACTGTGATATTATTTGATATACGACTTTAATATGTATGATATTGTGTGTACTCAGCACATATCTAATGAATGAATTAATGAAACAACAGATTTCTCGTGGAATGTACAATGGGCCAGTTTGACCAGGAAATACCTCCTATTTAACTGTCATACTTTGTTCTGTTTTATGAATAATTTGTATACAATGTACTGTGGTGGTTACAGTCAGCAGTATAATTATGTAGGTAGACAATGGACAGTATATATATATATAGGTGAAGATGTATATTAGCGAGACGGGTCTTACCTGTCAACAGCTCGCCATCATAAACTTGTCACAATCGTTCTCTCTTCAACATAATCCCCCACTGGATTGTCACAGACATTATGATCTAAAAGGTCAAGGTCGGCCATGTTGCCTCCTTCACAGGTCAAGGTCATGTCTTCGGGGTCCTGATCAGGCTCAGTTTGTTCCTCATGGAATCCAGATTCTGAAGACTCATCGTCAGAATCACCATTGGTGATACAGAATTTCACTTCCTCGTCGCGTTTCAGCTCATCTATATCATTACCTATTTCCAAATCAATTATTCGTTGACAAATCACCTCCATCTTAGCTTCATGCAGAGCCGGGGAGTCTAGAGAAGGGTCACTGAGTGCATGTTTAAGGGCTTCTTCCTCATCTAATGAATCGTCCGTTATTGTTGATTCATCCTCTTCCTCTACATCCTCAAAACTTTCCTCTAAAGTCTCGTGAGCTTCTACAATCGCACCAAGTCGGGGTGCTGTGTTTGATTTAGATATTGGGGGTTTAAAGTGTTGACCTGTGCTCAAAAACTGTGTCCTTTTTGGTAGCACCTGGCCTGATTGTGGTAAAGAATTTGTCCTCTGAAGTGTCAGACGAGAATTCTGTCGTCGTGTTTTTTCACGCATAAACTCTTTTAAGGCAAAATTTAATTTTTCATGAAGATGCACTGCCAAAGCTTTTGCCTTGGCTTCATTTTTACACAAAACTGCATGGCAACGGAGTTCCATTTTCATTTTTTTCCCCTCGTGTCGATACACCCAGACAAACACCCTAGGATACTTCGGATGCGCTATACAATATGATATCCTGTGAGCTCTATATTCAGTGAGTCCTTGTTCCTTTGTGAATGCTTTCAAACCATAGCTTGTAACGGTTAGTCTCATTTCAAGTCCTGGGTTCGAACTCCGCACATAGTTATTCCATATAACTGCTGCAGGTTTGTCTACACATCCATCACCTTTCATCATAGCTGTCTGAACATTTCCAAGGTAACGTACCTTAAAAGTCGGTTCCTTTTCACTTATAGACAAGTTTCGCTTCCAAGAAAACAAACTCATCCTGATACAAGCTGATGTGACAAACAACTATAAATAGATTTACCTACTAGGGATTGTCAAACGGGTAACGTCTACCTGTCTAAAACACGAGTACCGTGTTTTTAGATTTTACGAATATGACTGAAAACGTGTAAATATTTACATATACGATGTCACTGATTACAGTTCATTATAAATAAGATATGTTTGGACATTGACACATTTAAACTGTTAGTGTAGATGACAGCAAACCGGTACAGTGTAGATTTGTCTATACAATATACAGCTGACCTAGAAACGAAATCAATGGTCACCTAAACACACCTGTCCTTCTTGTCAAAGATCGACAGTATTCCAGCGTCATTGTTAATTCACCGTTTCAAAATCACAGAAAAATAACAAGTTTGAAATATGAAAATGAGCTCGAATGTCACAGGAAACTTCCGTTCTTTTAACTAGCTCACCTGCACAATCGCCATCTTCCTTGTATGTGTATACATATGCCTCTCCGTTGTGCAGTCGAGCATTACAAATTATATATTACGGGACGAATGGGTTTGTGTGTCGACGATATCACATGTTTAGGATACGTGACTCTGATTGGCTGGTTCGGCCCACTTACCTGTTTGAGTGTTATTTGAAGAATGTCAGTGCTATTGTATTGATATCTTGGTAAGTAAAAAAAAGGACAAAGTGAGTGAGGCATGACGAAATATTCATAGTTCTTCAGGGCAAATGGGTGAGCGTAAAACATATCGAATCTTCAATCAACCGCTGGGAATCGAACTAATTAGATGGTAAACTACTGTTTGAAGTGAGTGCCCGTTTAAAATAATCTCCATATATACAGTACATGTTAGCCCAAAGTGTTTATTTTATCTACCTATTGATCTGTAGTCGATATCGACCATGTAACATGTACACCGTACCTATGTGAGTGTGTGTTATTTCATTCTTTTTCATACAGGTACCAGATCCACAAGGAAGCTTACTTATTTCATTTCTTCAAATAATTTTTGCTTTAGAAGTTGAACTTGTCACTATGCTCACACACCACGATTTCTTCAGAAATAAAGATATTGATTTTGAAATGAATTTTTTTTTTAATCGATAAATGGATGCACAATCATTTTCTGTATCCATTCCTTGATTTTACCAGGGACGTATAATACAGATTATACGTCCCTGATACGTTGTTTTCAAAATTGATACTTTTTTCCAAAAGAGTCTTGCCGTGTGTTAGTGTTGACGTCATTTCAACTAATTTATCTGAATAAGACATTTTCATTAAACACCAAGACTTTGTTAAACATGTATTTGGAGAACATAAAATCACTTTGATGGATCCTTAAGTTCGTGTCACAACGGGTGACGGAGAAGAGAACACATATCGTTTCAGAGCTCCTTGTTTCATTACTGTTTCCTATCAGTTTGTTCTAATATAAATTATTGACACTATATTGACGGAACGGTACACATGTCCTTACAAATTGCTATGCACTCGCCCAACATTATTATGTACAATGACTACAGATAAAATTTGATGACACAAACAGGTGCTAGTACTCATTATAAGTGTTGATAAGGGAAGAACCAGAGAAAAAGAAAAAAAACTAAAAGGAATGAGGAAAAGGATAAAGAAGGTAAGACCCTGGTTACGGCCATTATATCATCCCATTAGTTATGGAGTTATAGATCAGGATATATCAACACAACCATATTGAAATTTATTTGATATTATGTCCGACTAGAGAATTTACCGACCCCTTTCGTGGACCCACCCTTCCTCCTGTGACTTTCCGTAAAAAGAGTAGACGAGATAACGGCGGTCAAGGGGTCTAAGGATAGTGTCAGACATTAGACGGACTTCAATAGTACTTTTAACAAAAAGTCAAAAGTAATTAGGTCACAACTCTTATTTTCAGCTTCCGGACACGTTTCAACTGCTAGAGTTAGGATAAGGCACCACGGAGGGGGATGCAAGTTGCCCCCTTACGTCGCAAGAACACTGACGGTCGTCGGTGAGACGATACTCGGACACAGGAGAGAGAGAGAGAGAGAGAGAGAGAGAGAGAGAGAGAGAGAGAGAGAGAGAGAGGGGGAGGGAGAGGGAGAGGGAGAGGGAGGGAGGGGAGGGAGAGGGGGAGGGGGAGGGGGAGGGGGAGGGGGAGGGGGAGGGAGAGAGAGAGAGGAGAGAGAGAGAGAGAGAGAGAGAGAGAGAGAGGGGGAGAGAGAGAGAGAGAGAGAGAGAGAGAGAGAGAGAGAGAGAGAGAGAGAGAGGGAGAGGGAGAGGGGGAGGGGGGAGGGGGAGGGAGAGAGAGAGAGAGAGAGAGAGAGAGAGAGAGAGAGAGAGAGAGAGAGAGTTTGTTAGTTTGTATATGTATGTAGGGGGTGATATCGATATACATCACTTACCAACATTCACATCTTTTAGTTAGAAGTGGTATATACGTGACTACTTCAAACTATGATTTCTGATCAAATGGTAACGATAAAGTTATATCTTATACTTAACTAACAAGTCTATTCCACAAAATAATCGGGGATAAATCCTTATCTAATATGTGCTGATAGTTGATAGATATCTGTGCAACGAAAATCAACTTTTTAGAGCTCCTTTATTTGTTCGCACACGCGCGCGCGCGTTTGTGTGGAGAGAGAGAGGGCGGGGATAATCTAATAAGTTGCCTCCTATGAATTTTATAGAAAGTACATACTTCAAACTCATCACAGCTAGATCTTAAAAGCACCACGCCAGAGTATAGTGCATTTTAGGTGTCTACAGATGAGAGTCTGTTGGGTTTCTTACGACAATTTGTCAGAACAAAAATCCCATACACTGGAGACTTGATTCCAGAGCTGTCTAATTAAACGTGGTATAGATAATTCAGAGTATTCTTACTAACTGTATTTGACATGTTTTGAAATGGTTACTTTGTTTACACGGAACTGTTTTGGTATCATTGTGAAGACTGTCATACTATCGTATGACAAAGAAACAAAGTCGTTGTATGTAAGCGGTTTCATTGGCTGGTCTTGTATCAGAAGGTCGGAAAGAGAATAATCCTTGTCTTTGCGAGATTGAGCTGCACCACAGTGTCCGGTTGTTATAATTCTCGAGTCTGTTGAAGTCTATTTAAGAAAAGAGTCACTTTCATGAGTCTAATAACATGTTTGATTGGGAAAACGACACGATCATCATAGAAATAAAACAAAATAGGACCAAGGACTTATTCTAGCGTCTGAAATAAGGTTTCTGTTGTGTAGTCAGGTAACTAGAGAACTAGTACAATTTCTCTAAATTCCTACTGGTGGAGAATGATATTACCTCATGTCAAACTGTATCGAATGCCTTGGAAAGGTTTCATATAAAACCCAAGATTAAATACGCTTTCCTGAAGCCTCGCTATGGAAACGTTCGATCTGGTAATTTGAGAAATAATCCGAGAGAAAACCATATTGGTGTTTGAAAGTAAAATCATGTCACTTGTATGATTTTAAACACACTTATTAAAAAATATCACAAATATGTATAATTATATAAGTACAAAGGTAAAACAGAGAGATGTATAATTATACAGGTACAAAGGTAAAACAGAGAGATGTATAATTATACAGGTACAAAGGTAACAAAGAGAGATGTATAATTATATAGGTACAAAGGTAAAACAGGGAGATGTATAATTATACAGGTACAAAGGTAAAACAGAGAGATGTATAATTATACAGGTACAAAGGTAAAACAGAGAGATGTATAATTATACAGGTACAAAGGTAAAACAGAGAGATGTATAATTATACAGGTACAAAGGTAACAAAGAGAGATGTATAATTATACAGGTACAAAGGTAAAACAGAGAGATGTATAATTATACAGGTACAAAGGTAAAACAGAGAGATGTATAATTATACAGGTACAAAGGTAAAACAGAGAGATGTATAATTATACAGGTACAAAGGTAAAACAGAGAGATGATACGAACTGCTAAATACATACTTAACGATTTCAAGATAATGTAAGATGGATCTTGATCTGTGAAATAACTTTTTTTTTAAATGGTGTTGAATTTATTGTTAAAGGGTAAACAACGATAAAGTTTACAGTATTTACTTTGTGTTTGTGAGTTACACTGTCGGAAGTGAATATTTACGTTTTCCTCTTCTAAATCTAAAATCATCGTCCCGTCTAGATGGAGGCCTCGCGGTCATTGTGATTCTAGACTGTATGTATCGATACGATATATAAAGTATATCTCGTGTTTGTATTAAAACGGAACTGGAACAACAAAGTTCTGTATTCAAAAACTTTCGGACACAAGGAACATGCATGTCATTAATTATATAAGAAACACGCCCAAATATTGTCAATCCCTTAACTGTTGATAATTAAATGTTAAGTGGGTCGCGAAGAACTATATGGTTTGGAGTTGTGGCATTCAAAGCAAAACAAAATTTACGTGTTAGAAAGAGCATAGAAATTCATTGTTAAAACAATTCAAGTGTTCAATCTAAGAATTATCACATATGTGTACATCCTTTACGGGAGTTTTTTTATGTGTAATAGAAGGTTATACTTATTTAATTAAACGTCTCTTTCAATGTATACTGTTTCTATGTTATCAGGAGAGGATTCATGACATGTTCTACAAAACTACCATTTGTACTATGTATCAACTGAATTCTGGAAAAACTGGGTGACTGTTTTTCCAAATAAATTTAAATGGAAATCTACAAGCAATCTAAACCACGTGACAACGACTCGTCTTCATTCATTCATTTACATTATAAAATGCAATATAACGTTCACACACAGAGATGTCACGAGACCTGTTCCGACTGTCCTCGAGCGATAAAAATAGATGAATTTTATTGTTTATCTGAATACATTGTCCACACACTAATTAATAAACATTCTTCGTGGCGACATAATCAACTACAATTCATTCAGAACTATGTGATTTTAGAATATATTCCTAATCAACAATATGGTCGTTTTTGAGGATCTTATATCATAAATCCTA